CAATAGTTGCGGATATGCGCCTTCTTAATTCTTGTTTCTTCCAACGCCGATGATGAATAGACCTCCGGTCAAGTGATAGCAGGGCCTTCCATTTTAGAGGATCCTGCCCTTTGACTAGTTTGGGGCATCGATAATTGGGGCGGGGTACTCTAAAATGAATGTTAGTCATAGTCAAAAGAGGAAGTGTGCAATTGCTTTAGTTAGCTCCTCAATTTGTGGATTCCCGGAGGGTAGGTACAAGGGGAGCGGGTTCAGAGCCCCAAAAATTCCTGGGGGTTCCTTAGGGGCGTTCCTTGAGTTCTACGGAATCCCTTCTTCTTTGGGCCAGCCCCTCTCCCTTAGGCACTCCATAATTATATTGACGTACCTTTTTGGAAACATCAAAGGCTGCTTGTATAGGTCCACATGTGAACCCATGGCCATTTTGGACCAGGGGCAAGCACATCAAAGGGACTGATTTCCCATACATCAAAGGCTGATTGCATAGGTCCATGTGTGAACCCATGGCCATTTTGGACACTTAAAGGGGCTGGTTTCCCATAATTAAGCCATGATTAACGGTCAATGAACCCATAAACTAGGGCTTCGTGTTAGGCGTTTATGAAAAAAGGACGTACACAGACTCAGCCTTTCAAACATAAGGGCTCCGCAGGGTGCTCTTGCAGTGCCAAGCTTATTTCAAAGGAAGCACCAGGGACCATCCTGGTGACTTCCCCTGCACTCATAGTGGGACACTAGCGCACTTATCCTGACCCTCCAAATTGTCTGCACCTTGAATGGTTGGTTATCCTTGCCGTTCTGCTTTCTGATTGGTCCCTTGTCGTGTCGGACAGCACAAGCCCCTTTTGCCCGATGTGGTGATGATGACGATGATGATCATAACGACAACATATTGATGATTGTTACAAGGATCGTCATCAAACTCGTGATGATCGACACATGATCATCATCATCATCATCATCATCATCAACATCATCAGCATCATAAGCATCATAAGCATGAGCATCAGCATGAGCATCATCATCATCATCATCATCATCATCATCATCATCATCATCATAATCAGAAGAATCATCATCATCATCATCATCATCATCATCATCATCATCATCATCATCATCATCATCATCATCATCATCATCTTCATCTTCATCTTCATCTTCATCTTCATCTTCATCTTCATCTTCCTTTTCATCTTCATGTTCATCATCATCATCATCTTCATCTTCATCTTAATCTTCCTTTTCATCTTCATGTTCATCATCATCATCATCATCATCGTCATCATCATCATCATCATCATCATCATCATCATCATCATCATCTTCATCTTCATTGTCATCATCATCATCATGATCATCATGATCATCATCATCATCATCATCATCATCATCATCATCATCATCATCATCATCACTGTCATGATCATCGTCAGCAGCAGCAACATCATCGTTGTCGTCATCGTCATTGTTAATGTCACATCCGTTTTTATCACCACTGCAATGTTCATGTTCAACCCACACTTGTAATGCTGACCCCATAATGTTAGACCCCTAAAATTGGAATGGTACCCTCCATTGTAGAAAGTGTTTTCCCAATTCAGGATCCTGTGACCGTTTCGGGGGTCCTCTATGGTGGAAAGTGTGCTTGCCGGAAGAAAAGAAACTCTTGAACAACATCTGGGCAAAAAACAACTTGGCAAACAAGTCGGGCAAGAACAACTGGCAAACAAATCCGGGTAAACATTAGGAAATCCGTTTCTTGAAGTGGTCCCCAAACCACAAAAAGGTACGGGCAAACAGTCAAGTCACACAAAGGGGGGTTGCCCACAAGGGGCCCTGATCCTCCTCAATGTGACTGTTTTGGGGTCCTCTTTAGTAACCTTTTTGGGGGGTGCTGAAAAAGGGGTCGTTGGCAATACTAAAGTAGAATTGGCAATACTAAAGTAAGTACTGGGAATCTGAGAGTCAGTCTTGGAAGTACTAAACTAGAATTGGCAATACTAAAGTAGGATTGGCAATGCTAACGTAAGTACTGGAAATCTGAGAGTCAGCCTTGGCAATACTAAAGTAAGTACTGGGCATCTGCGAGTCAGCCTTGGCAATGCTAAAGTAGGATTGGCAATGCTAACGCAAGCACGGGAATCTGAGAGTCAGCCTTGGCAATACTAAAGTAGGATTGGCAATACTAAAGTAAGTACTGGGCATCTGAGAGTCAGCCTTGGCAATACCAAAGTAGAATTTGGCAATAATAAAGTAAGTACTGTTCCTCCCAGACCCGCAGGATTTTCTCTAAAGAGGGTCCAGCTGGCTGGTTCCACTGTTCGGGGGGGGGGGGTAAAGAGGGTTCAACATCATATTTAATCAACCCCAGTTTATTCATAGGGAAGTGTTCCCCTCCAAGAGTGATGATTTCCACGAAACCCCGGGAACCCCCCTGTTGATAAACTGGGGTTGATTAATAGATCAAGCGTTCAGTGTGTGCCGAGGTTCAACAAGACGCTTGGCGAGTGCGTGAATGCAGTGGCGACCAACCCACAGATGCGAGGCATGGGGGTTGCCTCAAACTCGGGAGCGCCCAGGCTGAGGCCTCCCAGGTTTTTTTGTCGGAATACGCTGCAGTACTGTCCAGGGTCTTTCCTTGGAAGTGAGGTTTCTTTTCCCAAGTTATTGCTTGAAGGATATGGCTTTACAACGAACATGTATCTTAATATCCACGCCAAATGTGGGTGGACATAATCAGCACCTACTGTAACAGGTACGGGCTCAACCAAGGATTGTTCGCTAGGCTGATCCAAGGGTCGGTGCAATGGGTGGGGCTAGGACTTGGTTTACGCATCTGGCTCCCGGTCCTTGTCAAGGGAGCTTGTGTTGGTGGCTTTTGAACATGCTTATGACATATTGATAGCAAAGCACAAGCAATCAAAGGCTGTTGGCCCTGGCTCAACCCGGGCGATGGGGCTGCAAATGCAGCAACTGATGCTTTGGTGTAGTGGTTGGGCGCCCATGCGACCCACAAGTTAGACTTTTAGGCGTCTACAGTTGTCAAGGCGCTCAGCAGAGCGTTGCTTCCGCGCCGTGCTCATGCTACGGCAACGTTGAAAGCTACGGTGCGAGGACTTGTTTTTGTTTGTGCCATGATACTTTGTCGCTTGCACTTCCAATCAGCTTGTGTTGAGCAGTCACAGTTTGCGCCCCGCGCAGCTTTGACGGCAAGAGCAATCGCCGATGTTTGTGTGCCCCGTCTCTCTCTCACACTCTCGCTGAGTTCCAGGACTTTCTACTTTGCCGGAAGACCATGTTAGTGGGTAAACCAATCCGCTCAAATGAGTTGTTTTGCAGCTTTCTACCCATGTGAGTTGCGGACCCGACCCTTCAGTTTTACAGTCGGGACTGAGCCAATTGGCAGATGTTGATGGCTCGAAGGGGAAGCTTGCTTCCATCACAGGACCTGTGAAATCGGTTTCCTGCTGACGGCCAGTTCAGTGATACCCGTTCTTCCATCTCTTTTGGTGCGGTCCCCAGAGATTGGCAATTTGGTGGTGTCCAGTCATCCGGTTTCTTAGCTTTGTAGATGGGTTTGGTGGGTTTTTCTGACTTATCCTCCACCCTAAAGTTCAGTATTTTAGCAGGGGATAGGCTGCAGCAGCCCAGTCAACCACAACGGGTTCGCCTTGAACCTACCAGGTTGCTCGGAACCCACATTTCTAAATCCTTTTCTAGGTCCCCCAGGCAACGTGCCCTCTCTCACCCCTTTTTGTTGGTTGGGAGGGTTCAATTCCCTACTAAAATAGACTACAGAAAAAAGGCTACCCTTATTCTAATCTCTCTACTGGAGGACCTAGTTTTTGGCCCGAAAGGCCCTTATGCGCTTCCCGCTTCGTGCGCCTGTAGGGCAGGCCACTTTTTTGTTTTCTCCAAGCCGAATGCGGACGGTTTCATTTTAGTCCAGTTGTGGAGACGTAGGCCGGTGCTATGATCAGTTGTATACGAGGGAGATCAAGTGCCTGAATTTGCGCAAGGCGCTCGAGCCGTGCTTGCGCATGTTGATTTGCGCATGAATCAGGGACTGTAAGGGAGGAACCATGGGATTCATGTCCACGAACCACTTTCAACTTGGTTCGGTATTGAAATCCATCGCCATTTCTGCGAGTTCGTGTGATGGACAAGCGGACAAACTGCTCTGGGCTGGGTAGGGCATTGAGAGAGGCTTGCCCCGAACAGACTCAGAGAGACCAGAACAAACTGGCAGGAAGACACCTCTTAGATGTTCGGCCAAGTTGGAAAGCGGTTGGCCATGTGAACCAGGAGTCTCCATGACCCTTAAAAAATAGGTCCATGACCCCATTTTTTAAGGGTCATGGAGACTCAGGGATGTATTTTTCCCCCTTATAACCAGGCTAAGCCCACAAAACGGGGAACTCCGAACGGGGATCTTAAGCAGCTGGCCAACTTGGCGAATGGAAAGGGCCTACTTAAGAAACCGGGAGACAGGACGGTTCAAGAGGCGATCGGGTGCTTATTTAACAGGGCTCCTTAAAAGATGCATTTTGCCCATTCAAAACATGGCCTTTTCCACTAAAATAAAGGGACGCCACCATTTAACAAGGCAACGTTCAGGTGTATAATGTAAGGATCCCTTTATAGCCATGGCAAGCCACATTGTATGTCCAGGTTATTTGACGGATCTGAATTGAAGATCCCGCCAATCTTGGAACAAACATCGGGGATTTGTATCAAAGGGACAGAAGCTCACTTCCCGAGTTTGTGGCCTTGAAGCTTTTTGGAGTCTGATTTAGGTGGACTCTTGTAGAATCAATCTGAAGTGAGAGATCCCATTTTTGAGGCCCCCCCAGTCTTGTTGTGTACCCCTTTGTTTGGGGCTTTAAAGGACAACTAAAAGGAAGACCACACAAAATGGTGGGTCCAACCTCAAAGGAACCACATCCATCTAAAGTTTAACGCCAAAAGGGTACCCTCAAGCAAGACACACCCATGTGTTGCGTTTGTTTCAACCTCAAAAAACAGACGAGCCGTTGTCTCAAAATGGGACCCTAAACCTTTGTTTATGTCTAATTGGGTGGATCTTTGGACTGGTTGGTTGAAATTTTGGAGTTTCCATTGGACCCACAAACAGTTAGACTTTTACAGAGGGGTCAACAGCAACCAAGCTTTGGGTCTCCCTGGAGTCTCCATGACCCGAATCAAACATAGGTCCATGACCAACCATTTTTTAGGGGAATGACCAACCATTTTTTAAAGGTTCAGACGGAGACTCCAAGGAGACCCAAAAGCAGTTCGGGCTTCTTTTCTTGGTGGCTCCCAGCCATCCCAATAAAGCCTTTCAGCTTTTTTTCGTGTTTCGTGGTAGGATGTCCGAATTTCACCCACTAAAAGTTCGTCAAGCTTGTAGCAGGGCATCTCCTCAGCTTGGCTTTTTCCTTTCACAGGGCAGTGGTCGGGGCATGCCATCGCATGGCCCCAGGCACTGCGTCTGCGCAGATGCCTGGAGAAACACTCAGTGGTTGAGTGGCTCCAATTATTTGTCCAACTTGTTTTTTTGGTGGCTTTTTCCCACTAAACTGGTCCAAGCCCCAAAAAAGAATTGGTCCCCTTTTTTTTCCCGGGGTCACGGAACAACTGAGGTAACCGCCCGGTGTTCGGTTCCCTTTCACCGGGCGCTTATTCCCAGGGCCAGGAGTCTCCGAGCTGCGAGCAGACGCTGAAGTGCCTCAAGGGCGAGCCCATCCCGGTGGAAGTCGAGCCCTGCGAATGGCGCCTGGGCCCTGAAAGGCGAGAAAAAAAAGAAGAAAAACTAGAGTCTCCTTCTGACCCCCAAACATTTGGGGTCATTATCTTCATGACCCCTCCAGGCAGCGCGAACCAATGGCAGAGTTCTCAAGGAAACCAAGTAGCAGGGATACAGGGAGGACCAGGGATACGAGAGGATTCCCCTAAATGCACCTAGGGGGACCTAGAGTCTCCTCATGACAGAGGTTTTTCGGGATCCACTGGCACAAGCTTAAAGTTGGGAAAGGGGAGCCTAGTGGTCCAAGTTGTCCGGAAAAAGGAACGATATCTGCCTAGAGTCTGACCCCTAAGAAATGGTTGGTCGTTACCTTAAATCATGGTTGGTCATGGACCTATTTTGTTCGGGTCATGGCGACTCCAGGCACGAGCGCGACCAAGGGCAGATTTCTCGCTCGAGCTCATGATCACTTTAGTCGCCTTTTTTGCGTCTGGACCACTTTGGCACAAGTTTGGCCTGTTTTTCCCCTCAGGAAGTGAGATTCATCCCAGTTCTTCAAAGGGTTTTGAACCATGGCCAAATGACAAGAAATGGTGTTCCATGTTTTTAGTCATGACCCCAAACAGTTAGCCTTAGCCTTTCATTTCCAGGTTCCTTGGGCAAGCGAGAAGATGGATGTGTCTTTTTGTAGGATTCAGGCCACGGTTTTGTTGCCCACTCGACGTGCGTTGCAGATGAACATGGGCGTGTAGGTGTCCTGATTGACGGTTGGCTTGAATAGAAATATACCCCCCACTCCAAATACCCACTTTTTCTAGGGTATTTTTTTGAAAACCTGGTTTTTCAAGGAAAATGCATCCTTTTTTAGTAGAGGGCCGACAGGATACCCTAAAAAAGGCCGGGCATTTGGAATTTGGAGTCGGGGGTATGGGTTCCCCTGGCTTAGATTGGGGGCTTTCCGCCGCAAGTGCCTGGGATATTTTTCGAGAGGCTCCGATCGGCTTCGGCTAATGGAAGACCCGACCTCTCCATTAGGCACCCCGGGAATCGGTGGTTGGGACCCGGTCTCAAAACCTGGCTGTTTGAGGGCCCATGAATCGAATTGGAGCCTTTGGGAAGGCCTCTGCCGAAGCGGTTTCAGCTTGCTACTCGATTCGCGTTGCGTTGCTAAACATCTAGGTCCCCCAGTGCCCTGTTACCCTTTTTGGGGGACCCCGACAAAATCTAGACTACACCCTTAGTCTAACCTGTCTACTGGAGGACCTTGTCACCCACTCGATTCGCGTTGCGTTGCAGGTACACATGGGTATGATTGCCAAAAAGTCGTCCCCACCGGGGGACCGTAGGTTTTGGTCCTGGTTCCATAGGGCCACCCATGTTGAGTTCACATGGGCGTGCCTTTTTGAGGAATCGGACCGTTTGGTGTTCAACTTTTAAACCAACCAAAAAGGGTACCCATCTTCAACAGACAGACCCATGGGTGAGTCTGCTTTGTTTTCTGGTACATGTTCGGGGTTGAGCACTAGAGGGACTCCACGCGGTTTTTGTGGGTATTTAGTTTCATTTGGAGACAAGCCCACAATTTCCTGATTCCCAAATAGAGATATTTACTGTTGTTGGCATTTGTTTTTCTGGTTTTTAGGTGTTTTAGTTCTGATCATGTTTAGTAGGGGTCTGCAACCGACCAGTTTTTGCTACCATAGCAAGGGCTGGAAAGAGATAGCAAGACAAAGTGTTCCTTGGGCTTCATTTCAATCAGGGCTACCTGCTTTGGGTTGGGACACCCCTGGTGTCCATTTGGTATTCCCTTAAAAACAATCCGTCAAAGAGTGCCCTCAACGAGGAACCGGTGTTTTTTCCCTTTGAATTTACACCAGCCGCGTGATTTCAACATCTGTGCAAACACACATTTTGTTTGGACGGACCCCGTACTTGGCATGCTGGAGCATTTTGTTTGGCTGGTGCCTGTATTTGTCCTTACGCCCACAATCGTACGGTGATTGCTTCTGGCCAAAGTCGTAAGAACAGAGAATAGATTTCCGATGGTTTGCGGACACTGTTGCCAACATAAGTATCCATATTGCATGCACTGTCCATTTTGTGTTTCCACTGGCAAGTTGGGGCGTCAGAATCAAGCGACCCAGAATCCACCAATTTGAGACGGTGGTCAGTCATTGCCGCAAGCTTCCAAGAGCGGCTAAAGCGGCCGTTTTGCGACCGGATCTATTCTAGGTCCCCCAGCTAGGTGCCCTTTTACCGTTTCTTTGTTTGGGGGAGGGTTCCCCTGCTAAAACAGACAAAACTGAAAAAAATGCTTTCGACTGGAGAGCCGGATTTATTTTTTTGATCGGGGCACCAATTTAGCGGTTTGATTCGGCTTGGCACCGATGGCAAGGACACCAACCTGGATTACGAAGGGACCGCTTCCTGTTGTCAGCAACTTTGTACCACTTGAGCCACAGTCAAAACCGCTTCGGGTAGATGAAGGTTAGTAAGGGACGACTTGCCATAAATAGCTGCGGATCTCCGGCTTAATTCTTGAATCATGGTTCTAGGCAGACCAGTTTACTTCCCCAGAATTAGCTCCCCTTTGTGTTTTTTTGCTTTTTTGGGGTTCCCTTTCTTTTCCACGAACCAGGCAAACAAGATATTTTTTGGCTGGGGTCAACTAATTCCAGCCTAGTTGAGTACCGGGTTTTGATGATGACTCACTTGTTGATGGGTCATTCCGGAACAACGGACTCGATCCATGGGTGGAATTTTTCCGCTTAGCCTGGTGGAAAGCCGAGACGTCCCAGCAATTCAACCGGGAAGCGGATTTCGGCCTTCTCTCTCTTGGACTTTTTGCCTTGGCCATCTTTGGCGGTAACAAGTTTGGAAATTTGGGCCATCCACAAGTTTTCGGAAGCGAGGAGCCGAGTTTTTGTTGGCCCTTCCAGACCCCCCCCCCCACACACACCACGGTTAAGTTGTTCTCAGGTGCCAGAAACGACATTTTTTGGCCGGTCGAAGGTTTTGAGTCTGGTGTGCTTCCTCCCCAATTGGCGAGGCTGTGTCAGGGCGGCGGGGAGAAGCAGAAGGCCATCAAGGCCAACTGCTCCAAGGCCTACGAGCAGTACAGACGCTGGAAAGAGTGCCTCGGCCGAGTTGGAAAGAGCGAACTCGTCTCCTCCGAAAATGTAATCGTCCGTGCCTAGAGTCTCCTTCTGACCCTTTAAAAACGGGGTCATTACCCTGAATAATGGGGTCATGGACCTATTTTCGCTTCGGGTCAGAGGGAGACTCCAGGTACTACTGCCAACACTTGCTCGCAAAAGACTAGCTCCTGAATTTTGAGCCACTGCCAAAAAATGCAAAAGACACTTACTGCACTCGCAAAAGACTAGCTCTAGAGCACCTCTTTCCCATCATGTCAAACCAGGCCGGTGGGATGAGCTACTATGGTGCCCATGGCGGTTTGCTTCCTAACGGATACACTCACTACATGAGATTGGGATCTTTCCCGTGTGTGTGTGTGTGTGGGTGTGCGTGTGTGTCTCTTTTTGAGGGTACCCCTTGTTTGGTGGTTTTAAAGGGAAACGAAAGGGAAAAGCGTCAAACAAAATCTGCATGTTGAACAAGGCGTGTTTTTTTGTTTTCGGGCAACGCAACGGAGCTGACACCCTGAGTCTCTTGTTTGATACTTCTTGGGTCTGCACCATTTCAAGCGGTAACAAGAAATACTTGCTCGTTTTATATGCACGTGACTCGTGATGTCCACCATCCATCAATATGGCCCCTTACATAGAATGACCACTGTGGACAACCACTAGATGATATGTCCCGGTCCCACACAGTTGGAAAAATAGGTCCATGGAATGACCACCGTGGAAAACCACTAAAGTATTACTGTATATGTCCCACAAAGTTGGAACATACCGATTGTCATTTGAGGGCCAAGAACATTGATTCACCCCCATCCGCCAGCCCATTTCTAGCCAGGAGCTGCGATGATGAAGGCGCGGAGTTTGCCAGTCGGAGGCAAAATCTGGGTTGGAGTTCCTTGGGATCCATTTGCTTAAGAATACCTTTTTTTTCCCTGTTGGTTTTTAGAGGGAATCTATCACTACTGGAAATATGTTTTTTTTTTTTTTCAGGGGGCTTGAGCAAATGGAAGTTAGGCTTGTGCTTTTTAGTTGGTTTAGTGCCCAGAGGATCCTTATCTGTAAGTGACGAATCCCCTTGAACCAAACCCAAAGCCGTAAATATAAGGTACTTAGGACCCTCTGGGGTAGTTGGGTTTCCGTATTTAACCCACAGGTGAAACACTTTGAGCAGGGGATCAGAAAACGGACAGTTCAGACTTCACAGTCACCACGGAGATCCATTCTTTCTTTGTCGTTCCCTAAAGCTCCGCGCAGGCGGCATCAGGCGGTTCGAAAAACGCCCCCGAAGCGCTTCGGCGCCCGAAGTTGCCCTTTGGGTGTGCCTTGTTTACTTTGGTGCATTTTGCCAAGGGCTGTTAGGACTTTAACTTTGTGCCGACTAATGGGTTTTCCACTAAGCCACTAAAAGTTGAACTTTTAGCAGGGGAGCAGAAAGCAACCGAGTTTAAGGGAAGCCCTTCTTGGTTTTAAAGGAAACTCAACGGCCGTTGCGCCGTTTGATTCCTAAAGAAAGACGCGACTGTCAGGGGGCTCGCGAATTGAAAATGTTCAAGCTGTTTGGGTTCCGATTATTGGCAAGCCCGGAAATTTTCCAGGGAAGCCCGTTGAAAAAGCCCTGGAGTCTCCTTCTGGCCAATCAAAAATAGGTCCATGACCAACCATTGTTTTGGTAATGACTCCATCATTTTTGGTAATGACCAACCATTTTTTAAGGGTCAGAAGGAGACTCCAGGTACCTTTATTTGGGGTAATGACCAACCATTTTTTAAGGGTCGTGGAGACAGGTGGAAATTGAGGTCGTACTTCCAGAAATTTGCTGTTTTACCGGAAGTACCAGCCAAACATGAGTCTATTCCCAGCCCAGTGGCGCCCTTTCTTTGGGGAAGGGTTCCCCTTCAAACTCAACCAACCAATTCAGGAACCAACCAAACAAATATAGCCTGCAACCAACCAATCAATTTGTTATTCCGCCCACTTGTTCCTTCCGTTCTTGAGGGAAGGTTTGCGATTCCTTTAAACTCACCCAACCCCAAAAAATCGGATGCCGTGAAAATCCGCTGGGCACCTGGGTATTGGGAGCACCAGAATCCCGCTCTATTTCTAGGTCCCCCAGCTAGGTGCCCTTTCTTACCGGTTCCTTTTTTGGTTGGGAGGGTTCCCCTACCTAAACTAGACTACAAAAAAAGGTACCCTTAGTCCAACCTCTCAAATCTGGAGGACCTAGTTTGGGTGCTCCATACAATTCTTCCCATCCGGGTCTTTGGTATTTGGAAGCACCAGATCCTGCTCGAAGCTCTATTTTGTTTCTCGCCGCAGAACACTTGAACGAGACCATCGAGATCATGGAGACGGTGAATCACCTCACCCAGCAGTGCGCGGAGGCGACCACCAGCACCACCACAGCTCCACCGCGGCACCTCTACTGCTGGGTGCGCCTTGGAAATGCCTGGGCTGGGTGGTTGGGGTGGGTGGGTGGGTGGGCGGGTGGGTGGTTGGGTGGGTGGGTGGTAGGTGTGGGTAGTCGTGGGTAGGTGTGGGTAGGTGTGGGTGGGTGTGGGTAGGTGTGGGTAGGTGGTGGGTGGTTGGGTGGGTGGTTGGGTGGGGTGGGTGGGGTGCTAGGGTGGGGTGGGTGGGGTGGGTGGGGTGGGTGGGGTGGGTGGTGGGTGGGTGGGTGGGTGCAAGTGGACGTACCCTCTCTCGTTGCCATGGCAGCTGACAAGGCGTCCCTCGCAGAGGAAACTGATCTTTCAGGTACCCTTTTTTCAGGTGCCATGTTAGTGGGAGGAAGGGTACTGTGGATGGACAGTCTCCACTTCGCACCAGTTGGGATGCTTGAAGCCCTATGTATGTGTCAAACCACCTACCATCTCTGGATTTTATCCATCCGTCTTTCTTGCTTGCTTGCATTGGAATCTTCCTTCATGCTCCCCTTTCAATCAGGGGACAGCTGAACTTTTCGCAGTCCAAGTCCGGTTTTGCTTTGTGCTCGATCATGTGCCCCTCTGCTGCTGTTTCTGATGTTTGGTGTGTGGACTTGCTTGTCTGCCTGCTTGCTTGCTTGCTTGCTCGCTTGCTTGCTCGCTTTGTTTTGTTGTTTTGCTTTGTTCCATTGTTTTGCTCGCTTGATTTGGATTGGTCTGGTCTGGTCTGGTCTGGTCTGGTCTGGTCTGGTCTGGTTGGTTGGTTGGTTAGTTCAGTTGTTTATGTGTTTCGTTCCCCACTTTTTTTTATGATTTTGTTTTTGCTCTTTGGTTGATTACATGTAAACACGTCTTATTCAGCCTGCATTCCATGGCTCGGCCGCAGCAGGCGTACATTTCCTATGGCACTTTGCGCGTTTGCGCTGGACATCAATCGTGTTTTTTTTCTGCGGGGCTCCTGTACCTTGAGCTGCCAGATGGACAAGGGAATGAACCTAGGTCCCTCAGTAGTGCCCTTTCTCACCAACTTTTTTGGGGGAGGGTTTCCCTACTAAAATAGACTACAGAAAAAAGTACCCCGGGCCTATTCCAACCTTTCTACTGGAGGACCTAGGAACCAATCCCTGCATGCAATGGCTCAAGTGCTGGGTTCATCAAAATGAACACTGTGAGGGGTTCTCAAATTAGCGGCGCCTGAGGCTGGTGGTTCCGTGGACATACGAAGTGGAGCTGCTGCTGACACAACAAAAGATTGGCAGAGGCGCCACGTCCGAAGAGGATTTACGGGGACCAGGGCGGGCTGGGATTTGTTCGCCAGATAGCTGAAAGCTATAGGCTAGGTCCCCCAGTAGTGCCCTTTTACCCTGTTTTTTGGGGAGGGGTCCCCTACCAAAGCACACTACAGAAAAAGGGTACTCTTATTCTAGCCTCTCTACTGGAGGGCCTAGTAGGGGTTTTAACTTCTAATAAGGAGGGCAAAGTGATTTGCGACATTGACGGCTGGGTGTTGGTGGGCGTGCAGTTTGAGGTGTTGGTGTTGTTTGGGGTGCTGTTTAAGGTGCGGGTGACGGTGTCGCAAAATTGTGAGGGCCGGGTGCTAGGGCATGCAGTTTTGGGCTGCTGTATGTGCTGTTTGGGGGTGTTGTCTTCGTCAATGGTTCCAAAAGGGGAGACGCCTTAGGCTGATCAGCCGAGACACAGTCAAAACCCGGGTAGATGACGGTTAGTAAGGGACAATCCCAGCCATAAGTAGTTGCGGCCGCCTTCGTGATTCCTTGCATGGTTCTGGGTCAACCATTTTAATACCAGGTTTTGATTGTGACTCAGCTCACAGTTTATTGTGCCACCATTCTATTTCTGCACGCCCTGCAAGTGAATCGCTTCGGAACTGTTCCACTGGTGGGGAATTCAAGGTTGATAAGACTCTCCTGACGCGAATATTTTGGAGTTCATTCCCCTAGTGGGGAATACATTTAAGAGGAATGATTTGATCAATATGCTTCTGTCTTGTTCTAGTAGATACACAATTTATTCATCAGGAGAACCAAAACACTGAAGTATGTTCCAAAATTATTCCCTGCAGGGGATTCTATTCTGAAGGCAAATTCTTTGATCTTGTATGCTTCAGAGTGATTGCGCCAGTGGCCAATTCTTTCAATATTGGAGTCCTCTGATTAGTATCCTCCGGAATTGTTTAATTGTTCTGAGAAGTTCATTCATGAAAGGAATGCTCTGACTAGTAGTACACTCCGGCATCATTCCCCGCATGGGAAATTCATTCATACCAAGGGGAGCTCTCTGATTTCTGTAATATTCCTCCTTGCTTCGACTCTGACGTTAGAAGCCGCCAGGCATTTTCGAGTGCGACTACTACGATGTCTACTCAGATAGGCGCGGCCGGGCGGATGGCGCATGCCTAGCATGAGACCTGACAAAGGGTACCTTCAAGGGATACGACCTGTTGTGTTTTCAGGTTCAGTGTTTTGGCTGGCAGAAGTGTCGTGCAGAGCGCTCAGATGCCAATTTTGGTAGAGAGTCGAAACTCAGTACAAAAACACATCACTGTATCCTCAGCATAGTGATGAGATACCTGGACCCCCAAAGGAGCCCCTCTCTTCAGCCTCTGCACGGGGTTTAGGATGTCGCCATGAACCAACCTCCATGACCCTTGAAAAAATGGGGTCGAGTCATTACTCCAAATAATAGGGTCATGGCCGGTCCTTGCCTCAAACGATGCAAACAAAACTTGAACCCATTTCTCTCCCTCCGCTTTTCTTGTCGGCAACCGAAAGCGGAAAAAAAAAAGCGCTGAAGGCCGGCTTGCCTCGAAGGGAATTCACAGCTTCGGGGGGCGGTGCGCTCTTTTCAGCTTTCGCCCATCCAAAGAGCTTGGTCCGACGGGGAAGGCAACCTGCGAACTTGCCCGGATATGACACTTTTTTTGCCTTCCCCGACACTTGTTTGTTCAAAATAGTTCAAAATGACACTTCCCCAACTTTGTTCAAAATGACACTGTTTTGTTTCTTCCAGGCGACACTCAATTCCTACTGTGGATGGACAAAGTCCTGCATCACTTTGAAACCATGGTTGGAACCAGTGTGCATAGGTGTCCTTTTTGGTTGCTTTGCTCGAAAAATAGATGGCGATTCCTGGTTTACCTGGTGATTTAATCATTTACCGGGGAAATCCATCTATTTCCCCTAAAAGGACACCTGTGTCAGTGTGTGTTGGTATTTAGAGCGAATCATCCGAAACTCAGAAGCCAGAGTTTCCAAACGGTGGATTTTACGAAGCCATCCGCAGTATGAAGGGGCTACCTGGACCCTGAAAAGTCCAACTTAAAAAGTGGTTTTGCCGCAAAAGTATGGGGTGAGTTCCCGTTTTTATGGGTACCTAGAGTCTTCATGACCCTTGAACAATTGGGTCATTACCCTAAATAGTGGTTTTTAAAGGGTCCTCCGGGTAGTTTGAGGGTTCAGGAGGTTTTTTGGTTTTTGGCCCCGTGTCAGGGATATGCAGTTGGGGAAGATCCAGACCATCAAGGTGGACACAGATCTGCACTGCCCGATCAACAAGCGCCTCGGAAGCCGAAAGCTGGATGTCTTTGTTCCTTAGGCTGGTCTCTGGTGCGAATTTTGCCAAGGGAGGTTAGGACTGAGCAATTGTTTGCCAACTCATGGGTTTTCAATTAAACCACTAAAAGTTGAAAACTTTTAGCAGGTAGCAGAAAGCAAGCGAGCTGTGTCTGAAACTCTACCTGGAGTCTCCTTCTGACCCTTATCAATAAAAGGTCCATGACCAACCATCATTTTAGGTCCATGGCCTATTTTAGGTCCATGGCCAACCATTATTTTCCATGACCTATTTTAGGTCCATTTTAGGCGATGAACCATGTTTTCTGCGGCTCGGACGGAGACTTTCTGCGGTATTGGAAGAAGTTCGAAGCCCAAAGGAAGCCACCCTGGAGCCAGTGGCCCCTCATTTCCAGCGAATCCTCCGAATCTCCTGAAAATTTGAGCGGTGGCTGTGATGAAAACCGTGGAAGGGGATCCCATGTTGGGGTAGGTGAATTCACCACCCATTTTAGGGGTAGGCATTTTAGGCATTTCCAACAGCGAATCCGAATTTTCGAGGCGAGAGGTGGAAGTTTTTAGTTTTGGTCTCACTTTTTGAGTTAGTTCGCTCAGTTGTTCAGTGGCACCAAATATTTTTTCCAACTTTTTGTGGTGGCTGCTCCACTAAAAATGGTCTTCCCCAAAAGGGGTTCCCTTTTTTTCCAGGGTCACTGAACAACTGAGTTCTGTTTGGACTTTAGGTCCACTCGGAGCTTGAAGCATTAGAGCCAAGAATGGTTTCTTCTTGCTAACGGTCAACCCAGACAACTCCCTAGAAGTACAGGCCAATTCTCAGCGGGTCCCTTAAACCTAGATTTTTTGGGGAGGGGGGAAAGCGACTTTTGGAGATCTCCATTTGTGGCAACCCGTTTTCCTTATGGGAAAGACAAGGAAAATGGACTTGGGGTCCCCCCACCCCCTTCCCCCTTTAAGGGAGCGGGGGGGATTTAAAATTAGGGCAAAGGATAACCTTTGTCCAAAGCCAAACTCAACTGTGGCATGCGACGGCATTGTTTCCGCATATTTTTTGGGGAAGCACATTCCAGTTGGAACCATAGGCTCCAAGGTGTACCGGGGCTGGATTGCTTGGTCCAGAGTTAGCATAGGCAAGCGTTCTCAAGACAAGTTGCAAGTGCAACCGGAGATCCAGTGAAAGGGGAAGAGCACCCGCGCTAGACAGGAAATGAACAACTAAGTCTATTCTCACTCTTCCAGTGATTGAACTTGAGACATTGTCTTGCAATTCAAGCCTGGGCTGCGTCTTAAACAGAGCGACAACATCAACTGGTCGACTTTGGAGTGTCAGAAGCCTTTGGAGTGTGGGTCAGAAGTTCTGACCGCACGATGGGTTCAGCCAAGGTACACACTCACCGCAGAGAACACCGGCATCTTTCGGGCTGTGCCTGAGCTTGAGACACAGGAAAGATGGCAGGAGAAAGAGCGGTGCACATTGGTGTCCTTTTTGGTTGTCTTGCTTCAACAAATAGAAGGCCCTGGTTTGCCTGGTGGTTCAATCATCTACCAGGGAAATCCATCTATTTCCCCTACAATTGGACACCTATAACAGTGCACCTTCCATGGGTTTGCATGCCTTTCCGAACAGGAATCCAAGCAGAGGGATCCAAAGACAGCTTCTTTTTGATGCGCAAAACCATAGCGCTGGGATGTGTGCAAAAGTCTTGGCCCCCAGTCCGGTTCCAGAAGCCTTTTAGTTGCTTTTCGTTGGTTTAGTGGTTGGATTTCCGAATTTCACCCACGTTTCGTGGTGGTTTCCGACTTTAACCCGCTAAACGTTAGTCACTTTAGCAGGGGATCTGAAAACGAGCAGCCCAGAAGTGTCGACCTGGGCTCCAGAAAGCCAGGTGAGCTTCTTATTGTTGCCTAGGTCCCCCAGTGCCCTCTCTGCCCATTTTCCCGGGAGGGTTCCGAACCCTACTAAAATAGACTACAGAAAAAAAGTTGGTACCATGATTCTGACCTCTCTACTGGAGGACCTAGTTCTTGAGACGGTGTTTCAGCCAAAGATTCGCGAACGCTCGAAAGTTGATATGATCCCTGATCGCAAACGTGGTAAAGGTGTTTGGACCACCTTCTACCTAGACTGTCCATGACCCTTTCAAAATACGTCCATGACCCCATTTTTTTGGGTAATGACCCCATTTTTTAAGGGTCATGGAGACTCCAGGTGCAGCTGGGTCCCTGTTCTGTTGAATGCCAAGATCACCAGAGGAGGTGTCTGCATGTGTGCTTCAGACCCTGAACGGGTTCTTGGTTCCAGGAAGGACAATCATGTGTGTAGCATCCTACCTGCTAGACCCCATTTACTCACAGCCTGAGTTCCCACACTTTATTTGTTTTTTTGGAGGACCATTTTAGTGGTAAAGAAGAGGTCCAGACTTGTTCTGGTCAATCCACTCAATCGGAAGCGAGTTTACGGAGATTTCCCGACACTGTTGTTTGCCCCACTTGCCCAGTGGCGCCCTTTTTTTTTTGAGTTCAGGGTTCCCCTCTAAACTCAAGCAACCAAAAAGCGAGGCCTTTTTTTCCCCATGGCCACTGGGCATCTGAGTTGCGCAAACCTTGCGGTTTCCTTTCGAAGAGGCGGGTTTTTCTAGGGGTTCATTCCCCATTCTGTTCAACCATCCTCCTTTTCAAAAACCGGCTGTTTCCAACCTGGGTTTTTGATGGTTTCCTGAAAAGAAGGATCCCCGGAAAGAATGGAAATGGAAGGTAGCCCTAGAAATACCCCCCGCATCCTCCAAAAAGGCCGACCCATGGCTCCGAAGTGGAAGGTTTTTGGTGGTTGCCAGTTGCTGCCTCCCGAAGTGCCTGTCTCCCCGAGTCTCCGAGGTGTGGAAGAAGGTCTTGGACCGGGGCACCTGGCAGAAGTACGACTGGACCGTGAAGGCGTGCCTCCATTTGCTGAAGTTTCCCCCCCCCCCCTTTTTTGTTTTTGTGTTGGTTTTTGTTCCCCCTTTGTTATTAATCAGGGGAGCTCCCCCAAAGGATTTGTTTTTTCTGAATAACGACTGGGGTGTTCATGACTCAGCGGGCGGCATTGGCCGCCATTTGCTGAAGTATATGTTTTTATGTTCCCTGGTTGGTTTTTAAAAGAAATCATCACTACTGGACATGTTTTTTTTCATTTTTTCCTGGGGCCTTAACCAAATGGAAGCGTAGGCTTTGGACCGTTTTTCTCGTTCAACACCGTGAAGCCTGCTCTGCTGGGTTTCAGTTCAGCTCTAATTGGTGGTTTAGATTGGTGTGGGGATTTGAGCCCCTGGTTCTTGTAGCGTCACTCTCTCTCTCGAACGCAGCACGTGCAACGTGCCTAGCGGTGGATTGCGTAGCACAACCTCTTAGGGTCGCGGTCACTCGGAGTGACGATGTACTAAGTACATCCTCGCCAACTGCAGAACAATGATGCTGACCCGTGCCGAGGCACCTCAAAAGCGGTGAACATGAGGGAAAATAAAAGCATGGCCTTGGTGACCTGGCAATTTCCTACCGACACAGGTAGCCATTCATACCACGCGATCGTGCTACTAGATGGGACATGTGTTCATCCATCACAGTGAGCGAAGAGCACTGGTACAAAAAAGTCCAAACATACTGAAAGTGCAGGGGGCAGCATGCCAGTGCTTGTAGCCATGGGCCTCAAATTGCCAATGGGAGGGTTATGTTGCCAAGACCAGTCATCATGCTAAACTAAAGATGAAAAGCGGCAGATGGCTGCGTGTAAGCACACAAATGCAGAAAGTTGCAAATTATTGCGCTCACGCGAATGCTGGCTATCACAAGCTGCTCATCTGAACTGGCAACTCACTGCATGGACACAAACCGCAGTGGCAATTTTTCTTGCTCCATGGCCATAAGTCACAAATTGATGCAGCTAGCATTCTGGCTGCGTTGCTGCACAGCCCCAAGACATCAAGGATGGCCCCCGATGTTACCCAAGTCCACAGCCAGAGTAAGTCAGGTTAAGAAAGCATGACTGAGGGTGTTGCCGGACTAGGGAAAGCGGTCAGCTACTCAGATTTCGGCTTCAAGATGGTCACCCTTAGCACACCAAAGCAGATACGGCTCGCCCTGAATTTGATCCAGCGCTCTGGCCGCTTCATCATCGTCCGTGGCCCAGGCCTGGCTGTGATCCCAAAGGACGTTGGTGTAATGACCTGAAAGCATAGTGCGACCATGATGGACCGTGCGTGCGATCACCGTGTATACCTGGTGGCTCGTTACGAGGCCGCCACCCTCAAACCTTGGAATGGCAAGCAGCCTGTGTTCCAAATCAAGTTTGGCAAAGTTTTTGCACAGCCGGCCATCAGCTGACCTGCTAAACCGGCTAACCTGGAGCACAAGGAGCTTTGGGTCGCCATCTAGCGCATGCAAGGAAGACTGCGCATGCCAGCTTTCCACTAAGGTCTGCGGGGTGAGAGTGTCACGCACGTGTGCAACAGCCAAGGGCAACACGTTGAGTGTGGATCCTTGGTCTGTCTGGACCACCTGGCCATCCACAATACGCTTTGCAGACCAACCGAAGCTCATGTCAGGTGGCCTGCATTTGCTCAACAAGTAGTCACACAGTTCAGCTGCATCCTGTTGCTGGTCCATGTGCCGCCATTCGTTAAGCAAGCGTTGCCATGGAAACATGCTGGGAATGTGGGTGGGTGCTCCTGCAAGGGCTTGCAGTGCCTTCCAGGCATCGTTGCCATCGCCACGCGCGTTCACCTCAGACGTACCAAAGGCTTGGAGACAAGCAAAAGCAGCGGCCACAGCATTTAGGTAGCAGATGTTGTTAGGGTTACAGAGATTTAAGGCAAGGACCCATCGAGCATGTCTTTCACCCGCCGCGCCAGCGCCGAACGCTGGAAGCTCTCGCGCCGCCATTGCAAGCCGATCAGCTGAAGCACACAGTTGCCTTGCAGTTCGAGCATGGTCTGATGCACCTGGTGCGATGCCGGATCCCTTACTGTCAGGTCCAGCATGAAGGTGATTACCGAGCCGGTGAGTTGCTCCCTCAACGGTCGTGTGGCATGGAAGCGATTCACCATGTTCGGCGTGCTGAGGCCCTTTTCGAGGAGAGCCAGTTTGGTGAGCATCTCTTGGTGAGGTATGCCTTGGCGTCCGTTGTCCGCTTTCAGAAGCTGTCCCAAACCTGGAACCCCCAGACCAGCTCTGTCGAGCACCATCCCGCCTGAACCGCGGCGTTTCTCTCTTCTGGCTGACTGGCCACGGCTTTCAACCTGAGCACAAGCTGGCGGATGATGGCCTGGATCATCACCGTGCGCAACGGGTGTTGGGACAGCGGGCCTGGCTGGCCCTGCTGGGATTTCCACGTTGCCGTCACCTGAAACGAGAGGCTGGTCAACCCGGGCGGCTGCGTCTTCATGAACATCACGATTCCTGTGTCTTGACGCAGGATTGTAGCGTCACTGGAAAACTGCCCCCTAACTCAACCTCCAAACCGCCAATCCAAACCACCAGTTCAAGGGGAAGTTGAGGCCTGTTCAAAATTACTCCACAAGATCCTTTTGCTAGATGGTCATGGTTTCCATGGTTTCCCTTGTGGTGTCGTACTGCGGATTGTTAACTACCCCAGGCCCCCCCCACCCCGAATCCGTTCCTAAAATGCTCCAACCATAATAGAAAATGAGTTGCCTGCTTTTGATTTGGTTTTGTTTTGTTTCCTTTGTTCCTTTGACTTCCCGTTTTCTTTTGCCAGGAATCAATGCTCTTGTGCCGTCGTTGGAGCAGTCCTCAATTAATACCACTCCAAGGATGGAGGCGAGTGGGCCCAAACTGGTAGCTGTTCCTTGCACAGAACTCTTGGCTGCTTCTACAATCATCTCTCAGTTTGGAAGGGGTTCCATACAACTGGGATGCAGAAGCTCAAACAACGGCTTCGTTTCCCAAGCATCTGACCTTTTCACCTTTGGGTTTTCTCTTTTGGTCCATTTTGAGTCATGGCCTCCACAGGTTGGTGGGGCTAAAGGTCAAACGGTTGGGCCCCGGCTGTCGCAAACGTGCCCACATCTGGGGTAGACTTAGGAGACATTTTACATTTTACCAGTGGCTCCATGTGAAGCAGGCAAACAACAATATATACTCTTTTGCTGGGCCTAACTCTAATCATGACATGTTGAGACAGAAGTTTCATCTTACATGCGAGTCTGGTGAATTCAGTGAATCTTTCAAGCACGCCTGGCGATTTGAGTATGACATGACTAGCGAGGATCACACCAAACATTTGACATGTGGGGAACGAAATGTCTGAGAAATGCCACCTGTTGGGGATCAGATCCGCTGAATTCGAAGGCAGGGATGCACTAAGTGAGTTGCAATCAATCCAACCCAAAACAGCGTCTTACTATGAAGGAACCTGCATCATGCACCCGGACCGCACGCTTTTTGACGGTCCGTTGAAATCGCTCGAAAAATAAGCCCTGCGGTCCATTAACGTGTAACACACCACGGGTTTCTTTAGGAACATCGTCTTCCAGGACCTTTCTGTGAGGTTCCAATTGGATGGGTTAGCCTCGTTCTCAGGCTTGTAGGATTGAGAAACTGGAGCAAAGCACTTACGGCCCGGCTCCCGGGATCCATATGGGTATGGGTCAAAATTTAGTCATTGGGGCAGCGCAGGTGTTAGTCCATGTTTCCATGTACCAGGGTTCCATGCTTAAAGGGGCAGGGTACTTAGTAAGTGGTTGGGAACCATGGTTACAACCCGCTTGCCATGGTTATAAGTCTCCCAAGTTGGTTATAACTTATAACCATGATTATTACTCACTTACTAAGTACTCTGCCCCTTTAAGTGTTGGGTACCTATTTTTGACAACCACAGCCATATACCACCAGTTAGCCCAAGGCGATTGATTTTCCACACCTTCGCATGGCACAAGGCCCTGGTGGCCAGGTGTGGCAACCTCTCGCGTTCCAACCCCAGTCCACTTTAGACCTTTCTGCCATCTATCACACAATTGAATATGACTTGTGTATCATATATCCGTTATTATTGAGTTGTGTTTTCCCGTTTTCCGTGTGTTTTTTTCTGTTTCTGTTTCATCGTTGTGTTCTTTTGGAAACACCATTTGGTAAGCAAGAAGCTCAGGCTGTCTTTGGTCACTTTGAAACTAAGATGTTGTTGATGTTAGCGAGGATTTGCGTGACACAGACACACATGTATGCACACTTGCAAATACACACAGGCAAGCAATGAGACAGATAGATACGCATATGCACACAAACACACGCGCACACGCAACACACTACAAGTAAGAACACATTATACACACAAAACGCAGTGAGAACATGTATGGGTTTGGTGTTGTATAATTACTTCCCCCCAATAAACAATACATGCGGACTTTCCTGTTTATTTTGGCCTCCAGACACCTTGAAGGCTTTATGTTGGCCTCCCAACACCTTTTAGGGTTTACGCTGGGCCCACCAATGCGGGAGCTGTCGGGGACATTCGTACATTTAAATAAGAACTGATTCCCAAACATAGTTTAAGTTTTAAATTGAATCTTATACGAACTTAATTCAGTAGTTTTTGAGAATAATACTTAAATAGACTTACTTCTCAAACATGATTCACATTCTATATGGCAAAACATTGAAAGGCTTTCTGCAAGCAAATTAGGGCTTGTGTTATTTGAATTGTGGCTCATTCGTAGCGTCCGATTTAAGCTTGTTAGACAGTCTTCCAAAATCCAAATATCAGGAGATTACAGGTTTACATTCTAAACATATCTCGAAGCAGATGTGGACAGGTAGTTCAGGGGAGGGGGTGATGGTGTGTGAATATGTACATATATATATATTTATGGTCAGCCCCCTACCTTTCCTCTCTTCTAGTTGAAGGTGTCAAGTCTACTCCGTGTGCCTCGTTCTTGGAGATGCCTGAAACTACTGTAAAATATACAGTGTTTCTGTTGGCGGTTTACCTTCTATATGACAGCAAATGTTTGCTTTGTTTCAGCTTGAAAGGCAACAAAGCGAAAGCGCAATCCGTTTTCAGATTCGAGTCTGACTTTGATTGAAAACACTGGTTTTTACAGTGGTTTTGAGTACACCAGGGAAAACATTGAAACACTTTGGTTTTTGCAGCTTTGAGCTCTGCAACCTGCACAGACCCAAAAGCACAAAATCTCCTGAAAATGAAGTCTCTGAGACTTGCACACGCCAAACACATCTCCACACGAAGTTTGGGAGTCTGGGGATATGTGCCCTTTATCTGTTTAGCCACACTTAAGCTAAATCATATTTGGGAATGAGTTACTATTAAAATTTCTTTGCAAAGGCCAAGTGATTTCTCTCCAGAATAAGCTCTATTCCAATTCAAGTTGCATTTGGGGATGGATTTTTGATTAGTTTCTTACGTTCAAAAGCTAATTGAATTCTGTCTGCATTAAAGTATATTTAGACTCTACTGAAATGATATGTTCCTTTTTTGGAAAGGTATTCCTGTTCAAGTTCTGATCAAACATAGACATTATGGTGAACTATGTGCTTACTAAATTCTATTCAATAGGCAAATTCAATTCGGAGCAAACACGTATTTGGAAACGAATGTGTATTTGGACATGTTGGAGGACACCGTGTTTCAAACTGGACATTTCAAGGGATTAGAGATCCAACAACATGTTGTAAAACACAGTGTTTTGCAGAAATTGCTCAGATTGTGTTCCCTTGGGCTGAAGATTGTTTTTCCCTAAACAACAGTTTTCCCTTCAACATTCCAATTCAATTCGCAGTCTTTGGTTTTGAAAATGTGGGACTTCCAGCTCCAAATTATGAGGCCTGGAGAATCCAACATTAGACATCTCGAGGATTCTGATCTCCAGATTCTAGGTTTCAGGTGCTTCACCATGGACATTTCAAGGGAATGCAGGTCGAACAAAATGCTGTAAAACACAGTGTTTTGAAGAAATTTCTCAGATTGTGTTCCCTTGGACCGAAGATTGTTCCTTTCCCAAAGAACCTTTTCCATTTGCTACGCATTCAGCCTACATAAGGTTTATAAACTTGTATGGAAGTCTGTGAGTTAGGGGTGACTCAACCAACTTTGTTAAAGACTTCTCCCCCCCCTCCCCCCTCCTTCCCCATTCCCCAGACTTCTCCAGGTGCCCAGGTGTCGCCTTGTTGCAGGGAAACCGTCAAACCCTTGACATAGTTTATAAACTTTCCTGAAAGTTCATATACTCTTCGCTGTTGTTACTCAACAGACTTGTCACCCACACAAACTATGCAACAACAGCACACTTCTTGCGTATGTATGCTCGCACCCTCTGTCTTTAAAACAAGAGGATTTGGTCCACTTTGAAGAAGAAAGGTAGGCCCTGCGGGGGGGGGGGGGGTTGAGCATATATATATATATTCAAAGAGATATATTTCTAAACATACATATGCACGTATAGTACCCCTCGTGATCCTGCGCCTCCTCATTGTACGTATACATATGTCCCCCCCACCCCAAATTTGCCACAAATTCAGCAAAAGAGGCAACACAGAGTTGAACAGCACACCTCAAACTCACCAAGCCAGGGTCCGTGGACGAGGTACCATATATATATATATGTACCAGTCCCTGGGCCACGTACCCCCCCCCGGTCCACGGCCTGGAACATATATATATATATATATACATCGTATACACAAACATCCACCAGATGCTCGTCAGTTTGTTTATCCACATATACATGTTGCACGTCAGTTTGCCTTTGGTGCACATTTTTTTCTCGCAGGTGGACTTGGACACCGTGTTCTGGCCCCAGAGGTTGATCCAAATGGTGCAGGAGCCTCGGCCGAAGGGGTCGTGATCGGGGCTGTGGGTTACTGCTCTATGAATTGTTGTTTGCTTGTTTTTCAATGAACCCCGTCCCCCTCCCCCCCAAAAGAACAGAAATAAATAGCAACATCCCCAAACAAAACATGGGTATTGTCAAGGCTCGCTCATGTGGGCGTGTTTTGTTTTAGGGGAACCTCCCAGAATTGGTGGTGTTCCTGTTAGTTTCCTGATGGTTTCCCCCCATGTCCCTGATGGATTCTTCAAAACCAGCATCTTTTGCACTCCAAAAACAGGTATGCCGAACAGTCCCGAAACCTGAACCCTCCTGTTGAACCTTCAGCTGGCCCAAACCCCAGATGAGCTCAAAACCATGTGTCACGGAGGCCATGGGAAGTTGGGAGGTGGTGTCAATTCCCAACTTGTTGGTCCCTTTTGGGGGAACCCTCTTTTGGAAGAAATGGACCTTGGCGAAGCGAAGGCCATCCGGCTCCTTGGCTTGCTAGATCCTTTAAAGGTGTTTAGTGGGTTGGATTTCCGAATTTCACCCACTAAGAGCTCGTCACTTTGAGCGGGGCATCTGAAAACGGGCGGCCCACGGGACTGAAACCAAAGTACTCTGCAGCCTTCCGCATTCAGGAGCCCTTCATCCGGCAGCATGCGCAGACGGGCACGGGGCTGTGGCTGAATAACTGCGTCCACGGGCTCCACGGGCCCATCGAGGTCCTGTCACGGCAGGCCATGCAGGCGCGGGCAGCGCGCGGCGCATCGCGCCGCGCGGCGTGGAATCGCGGGACCAAAGAGTTCGATCTGGACGGATGGATGGTCCAAGTTTCTCAGTTCTTCCGTGGCACCAAAAGTCCTTTTTCCGATTCCCTTTTTTTTGGGTGGCTTTTTCCCCGCGAAAAATGGCCCAAGCCCAAACAAGAATTGGTTGCCTTGTTTTTCCAGGGTCACTGAACAACTGAGGTTTTGTTAGGAAGAATGGCCACTTGAGGTGAAAGCATCTGCTTGAGGCCTTTTGGGGAAGGACATATTTAGTGGTAAACAGCAAGAGTTTAGTGAGGCAACTCGGCATACTGATGGAGGAAATCCGTGCCAGGTCAAATAGTTGGGATGATCAATTCAGGTTTGGGATAAGCCACCAACTGGCGCGGCAGGTTTTGTCCGCAGTAAGGGGTTGTCCATGTTGTCACCGTTTCACGAACAATCTGCTATCACATGTGTGCACTTTGTTGCCAAATCGTCTTCGCCATGGTTTCGCCACACGACCCAAACGGCCGCACTTCACACTCACTGACTTTTGGTGGGGCCAATTATTGTTCCACCCCCCCCCCCCCCGCCCCCAACCAACCAAAGCTAGCCCAAGCAGTTTGGGGTTGGAATGAGACCCAGTTGGTCGGCGGATTTTAAGTGCCTTGTTCTGTGGATTCCCTGCCGAACAAATTCTTAGCCCCGCCCAACGCTCCAACTCAGCCAGGGCTAAAGAACAACTTGGAGGATATCCTACACTTTCGCGGAACACTTGTGCATGTCTCTCAAGATCTTCTGAGGAGTCTACCAGGGTCAACCAGGTCCAAACGCCTGTGTACCTTCAATGAACAATGGGCAAATGACCATACAAGGCTTGGAGATCCAAACCCGCTTAAGTAATGGAGGAGGTCATACCATCAACCTAGGGGTAACTTTCCTACTCTTTCAAAAACAAAAAGAACAAGAAACCCAGGAAGTGGTTGAACAGATTCCTTTGCCCACGCAAGTTCCGTGTTTGGGCGGACTTGTGTATGCAGGGGGGAATCCAATATACTATTGGGAAACGGGCCACAATAGATATTATGCATATATGTAGCACATAAACATATATATATATATATACACACATATACATGCATATTTACATGCACGTGCAGTTTTACATACATATGCATATCCATACATGTTCATATATGTATGTATGTACATATGCATACGTACATACATATATATATATATATATGCATACAGATACGTGCACACATATATATATATATATATATATATGTATCATGGACGTCCCGGCAACCGAGAGGCTCGGCCACGGTCAGATGATGTGCGTTAGGGTGCACTCAGTCAAGTGTGGGGACATTTTTAGCCAGGTCACCCGGCCGCCCTCACGGTGAATTTGACCTAAAGGGGCAGGGTACGTCAGGTAAGTGGTTGGGAACCAGGGTTACAACCCACCAAAGCCATGGTTCTAAGTCTCCTAAGTTGGTTATAACCATGATTACTAATCACTTACTAAGTACCCTGCCCCTTTAAGTAGCAATCTGGAAATAAGGGTCGGGGGGAGATCCTCTATCATGGCCCACATCCGCTGCTTAAACACGCAGTTGTGAGTGGCATGCAGGTTGAGCTGCCCGTTGCGTCACCTAGAATTCCACTTTGGCGGGGTCCAACTTCTTAAACAAGGCTAGGTCCCCCAGTAGTGCCCTTTTACCCTTTTTTGGCTCGGTCGGTTTCGGTTGAAAAGACATGGCGACCGACGTGTCAAGTGTGGGTGTATATGTATATATATGTAAATATATACATATATACATACGGAGGGTTCTCTTACTAAAATAGAAAACACTGAAAACATGGTACCCTTATTCGAACCTCTCAAATCTGGAGGACCTAGAAGGGGTATTTAAGAAGTTGAGCCTCGAGCCCTTGTCCGGGCAGAAGTTGCTGAGGCACAGCAATGCCATGACCGAAGGTTTTTTGCAGATCGACCTTTGAAACAAGTAAATAATCAACCCAGAATCAAGTGATTAGAGGACAAATCGCCCTTTGAAGCAACTAACTCGACCTATCGACCTAGACATAGAAAATAATCAACCCAGAATCAAGTGGTTAGAGGACAATTGACTGTCAAAGGCCCAGAAACGGTGCGGAACTCCGCCTTTTTGTTTTTCTGATTTCCCGTGCGGGTTTAAAGATAATTCGGCCGTCAGCTTGTGTGGATTGTGACTCATTGGCATGGACTGGTTGGCCAGAAACTGTGCGACAACCAGCATAAAGGGTTGTTAGCATATCATTTTGACACATTCAAGGTTGCTCCGGCCCCGAGATCACCCCCAAAGGCGAGAACAGGCCAAGGCTTTCCCTCGGTTTCCGGGCCAATGGCACATCGCCCAAGCATCCCCATTGACCATTTGCGCACTTTTCGTGGGCAGTACTGTGGATGGTTGCGAAATCCTCGCAGCGCACCACGGTTCATGAAACCATGGGAATGATCATAAGGTTTGTTGGTATTTACGTTGGGGAATCGCATCATTCTAGGGTTTCTTGGGTTCGAAATGTATTTTGCAACCATCCACAGTATGGCTCAGCAAGAGGACAATTGACACGCAGACAGGCATACATGCCCCTATCCATGCGGCATGTGGACCTGACAGACGGCAACTGCCAAGCCCCTGTCAGATCTACATCTCGCGATGGAACGACTGCCAAAATGTCGCGAACCACGTGCCGCAGGAGGCTGGACTGGATCTGATTGAATCGAGCGCCGTGCTCCCGCCTGGGAAGTTTGTGGGCTTTCGACAGGGCTCCTTAAAATCAATTCATCTTGCAACCATTTGAAACATGTTGCTTTTTCCACCAAAATAAAGGGGAACCACCATTGACAAGGCAATGTTCAGGTGTTTTTCATGTAAGGATCCCTGTTCGAGTGTTGCTATGGCACCTGGGACATTGTGCCTAACCAGGAGGAATTTGTGACTCATTGTACCACAGGTGCCATGCTGGGAGGAGCAATCGTCGGATGCTTTGCGGGCTACACACTCAGACGGTACCACCAATGCCCCCCTTTCCCCGGCAACTCGAGGCTGCGCATCTTTCTGGGAGAAAACCAGGCTCGCCTGTTTTTAGAGCACCCCCTCCCCTCCCAACCCCCCCCCCAAGAAAAGGAAAGAGAGCAGAGATGGTGCTTTCCTGGTGGTTTCCCTTCCTTACCAACCAGGGGTTCAAACCAAGACACGATATGCCACCGCCCGCTTTAGGGAGGGTTCCCCTGCCAAACTAGACCCCAGAAAAAAACAAACGGCACCCTTATTCTAAGCTTTTTACTGGAGGACCTAGAGTAGCTGTTGTTTTGTTTGGCGGGGGGGTTCCATGACAGCCATGGGATGGGAAACCAACAGCTGAACACACATAGGTTTCAGCTTTGTGAACTGTAGTTTTGCAACAAAAGACATGAAGTTGGTGGTTCCCAACCATCCCCTCAAGTTTGCAGGCATAGGTGTCCTTTTTGTTAGTTTGGTTGAAAAATAGAGGGCCCTGGTTTACCTGAAAATTCGATCATCTACCAGGGCCATCTATTTTCCCAAAAGGACACCTATTGTTGCAGGTGGTTAGTGGCTTTAGCGATAGTTTCGTACTAAACCACACTAAGAGTCTCAAAGCTTTAGCTGGGTGTTCGAAGGAGAACAGCCCAGTTTTAACATACCTAGACTCTCCATGACCCTAAATAAAAATGGGTCCATGACCAACCATTATTTTGGGTAATGACTAACCAGTTTGTAAGGGTCACGAGGAGACTCCAGGTACAGAAAAGAGTTGGGTACCCTTGTTCTAAGCTCTGTACTGGAGGGCCTCTGTTGGTAGGAGGCAGGTTCTAAGTTTTACATCCTCCGTAGGATGTGTATTTGCGGAAGTGCATGGACCACCTGGGAGTGTGGAAGAGCGACAACTACATACTCTTAGCGGAGGACAGGCGCTGCTTCGCCGGGTGACTGGTGGCCAAAACGAGGCGTCTCAAGTCGAAAGTATGATATCTGACGAATGGATGTATACATATATATATATTTACCTAGACTCTCCATGACCTTTTAAAACTGGTTCCATGACCATTGTTTTGGGGAATTGCCCAATCTTTTAAGGGTCATGGAGACTCACGGTATATATGTACATTAATATGGTCATAATATGTATATATATATATATATATGTATACATGCATCACACCTTTGAGTAAGCAAGACAACAGCTGTCCATGAAATTTGTCAAGTGGGTTTGCAACAAGGCCAAAGTTTGAAGATTAGATGGCCGAGCCTCCAGAAGCCTTAAAAGGCCTCACTTGAAAGCCACTAAACGTTGCACCAGCGCAACACCTGAGTTCTTAACTTTGAATCGGTATTTCAAGTATCCTGGAACATGCCATTGCTTGCATCCACACTTTCGAGATCATCCGTAGGAATCAAAGGAGCAACCAGGCAGAACAGATTTGCGACTCTTGCAAGTTCTGACCAATCTGCCTGGTAAGAAACGCAATCAAGACCCGAGTTGATTTCTTATGTCTTGCCTTTGCACCAGCACACGCGAAAGACAAATGATCCACAACGCATATGTGTGGCGGCTTTAGTTGTTCTCAGGACCTCGATTTGCTGCTGCATGCTAGCTGATTGCATGTGTTTGTCAGGTGTTTCCTTTTGCCATCCTAATTTCCCCACTTCTTCAACATTGTCTCTCATGGTTCTTTTTGCAGTCAACCATCCTGAGCAGTCAATTAAAAGAGCTGTGACAACCCGCAAGGTAGGATGTGGAGCTCGTTTGAAACTTGTTTTGCGTGTTTTTTCCTCGACCGCGGGGAGGAGTCAGCAAGGTCAAGATTCAACTGGGGAGGCTCAGTCCACATGCCTGTGGCCAGGTCAGCCTTTATTGTTGATGGTTTGAACTGGTGGCTGGATTCGAAACCCAAGCTTTTGTAGAGGGTACTCGACCTCCAAACGATCAATTCAAACCATCAACTAGAGGGAAGATGATCGCCCCTTCAAAAACATCCCATGCCATTTTGCAGCAGCTACCCTTCAATTTGTTCGGCCACAAAGCATAAAGTGGTTGGTTGCACATTCCTGAGTGCCCTCGAAAAGCGGCTTGTGAGTGACAAACCACTTCCCCCAGAGAACATCTCGTCAACCGACTGGCAATGTAGTGGGCTTCCGTGTTCTTTCCCAGAGGGTCCCTTAGTACTTCATGAGGAAAGGGGGGTAAAAAGGGGTCGTTCCGTACCTCCTTAGAAGGTACCAAGGGACCCTCTGGGTTTTGGGAGAAAAAACCCTGCACTTCCCCCAGAAAACATCCCGTCAACGGTTTGGCCAAACGTAGTGAACTTCCATGTTCGTTTGAGTGAAATCCATGAAATGCACCGATGCACCAACAGGACCACTGCGATCACTCGGACTACTACAAGTGTGAGGGCAACTTTGTCGCCTATCACCCCTTCAAGGCGGCCTGCGAGCTGCCCGAACGGACGTCAAGTCCTGGTTAAATGGGGTCCATCACTCTTGGAAATACTGTGGATGGACAAAATGCATTTCGCACCACTTTGAAACAATGGGATGCATTGTTTGTTGGTATTTGTCGGGGAATCATCATTCCAGTGTTTCTTGTGTGGTGCAGGATTTCGTCCATCCGCAGTATGTCTTATTTTTTCCAGAAGGCTTACGCAAATGGAGGTGAGAGTTTCTTAGATTGTTTGGGAGTTCTGGTCATTTAGCCAGATTGTGCCCTTTTTGCGAGCTTAATTCATGGTTTCCTTTGCCGTTAGCAACCCAAAAGAGAGCCACGCGAAACAAATAGTCGACAAGTGTTGCTGGACTAGGAGCCGCGCTCGACTCGAGTCTGGTATGCTGTGCATCTCTTATTGGGGTCTTGGACACCCTCTCCTTGAAATTTGTCCGGATGTGATGCGGGTCGACATCGGTAGCGGTAGATTGGATACTTGAGGTCCATTTACCTTTGGATCCATATCGGTACGTGTCAAAATGCGTGGTTTCCTTCTCCAGGCGGATGTGATGCGGGTCGACATCGGTAGATTGGATAATTGAAGTTGACCGTGTCATCAGCCCATTTACATTTGGATCCCCTTCCGGTGCGTGTCAAAATGGGTGGTTTTCCTGTTGGTTTCCCTTTCGACCAGCCTCAAATGGGAACAAAGCCTGTCTCAAAACCACGCCCTAGAAAAAGTGAGAAGTGCGGCACATGATTTGTTGCAAACCTTTGAGGAAGGCTTTTCTGCGGGCACGTTACATTCCCAGAAAAACCCTTGGTACCGCATGAGGATGGTTTTTGGGGGTAAAAAGGGGTCGTTCAGTACCTCCTCGCCCAGTGCCATGCCTCAATGGCTTGTCCATGATTCTCAGATTCGTCTAAAATTTATCGTTGGGGTCGTGATTTTGACCATTGGGGGTGATCAAAATCAGAAACTGGTCAGAAGGAACCTTAAGGGAATTTCTGGGCGTAGGAACACCTTTCTTTCTTTCGGTGTCGGATGGGTCCGGGTTTTGTTGGCACCTGGAGTCTCCATGACCTTTTTAACATAGGTCCATCACCGACCATTATTTAGGGTAATTGCCAACCATGTTTGATTCGGGTCAGAAGGAGACTCCAGGTAGAGATAACAAATGAGGACAACTAGGCGTTCTATTTTTTGGGGTGGATCCCTTGCGTTAGGGAAACAAATTCTTTCTTGTTTCGAGTGTCGGATGGATCCGGGGTTTTGTTGGAAGCCATCCATTCGCTTAAGAATATTTTGTTTTTTTCCCTGTTGGTTTTTAGAGAGAATCTATCACTACCTGGAGTCTCCATGATCCTTAAAAATGGGGTCATTACCCAAAACAATGGGGTCATGGAACTATTTTTAAAGGGTCATGGAGAGTCTAGGTACTGGGAAAAAATCTAGGGGGCGGAAAAGCAAATGGAAGAAGCTGTTCCTTCCGCAGGCCAAGGACCAGTGGCTGGAGTGCCGGCAGAAAGGATGATGCGGAGGCAAATTCTGATGTTTTCCACCGGCGTCGGTCCGGCGGCGGAGCGGTCTCACCGGCTGACGGGTTTGAAAAACCGTCGGAGGGTCATGTTCTAGGTCCCAACCAGCTGGGTGCCGTTTTACCGTTTTTTTTTGATTGGGAGGGTTCCCCTATAATATAGACTGCAGAAGAAAAAGGGTACCCTTATTCCAACCTCTCTACTGGAGGACCTAGTGTTTCAGTCGGCAAGGTTTCTTTAGAAGCAATACAAGTCACCCGCTGAGCGCTACGTTAGTGAGGTTTGCACCTCTGCACCACTGGATGTGAGAGTCGCTTTACTTCTTGAGTCGAGCGTTCTCGATCACAACTTAAAGTGGACAGGAATATTTTTCCAGATTTCTGCCAGTCGCGCGGCATGATTGCGCCAAAGTCTCAAAGTGCAGTCGAGTGGCAAAGTCGGCTCGTATCCGCATGATCGATCCTCAACTCTGACAGGCTGCTGGACAGAACGAGATGGATTAACCACACCCCGACTCCCTTAAAAACTGGAATTGGGAGGAGGGACAAGACGACCCCTGGAGACGATCTCCATTTATAACCCATTCTCCAAGTCTCCCTATCATGTTTTGTGGGGAGAAAAGTGGAATTTGGTCCCGGACCCCCCAGGCTCATTGGTCAACATTCCGTTCGGCCGCCAAATGACCATGGGGAACTTTCAACATTTAGTCGTTGACATATCGTATCTTCTTCTTTTTTTTTCGTCGCACCCATGGTCATCCCGTACTTCGTGGGATCTTTTGATCAACCCCCCCAAAATGGACGTTTCCCTTTAATTAACTGGCCACCTAACTAACAAACCATGAAACGACCTTTTCCCTGTAAATACCAACAATCATGGGGGCTCGGGGGGAGGGAGGAGGGGGGGAGGGAGCCCAAAAGCCCTGAATAAGGCCTTATTAAGGCCTTATTAAGGGCTTAATAAGGGCATATTAGGGCTCCCTCCCCCCTCTCCTCCATCCCCCCCAGCCCCCATGAAACAAACGTTATGGTTCCTCAAGGGTTTCACCGTGCACGGCTGTCAAAACCGCATCGCAGTCGGAGCCGCGAGGAAATGGCGAGTTGAAATTATGGTCGAGAGTTCATGTGACATGGATCTTTTCTTCTTCCTTTTTCTTTTCGTTTTTGTTTGTACTCCACCCCCCCCTCTCCCCCTTTGTCGTGGTTTTTAAAGGAAGCCCAAAAGAGCACACACCGTTTTTGGGGGTCCAACCTAGACTCACATGTGTCCTTTGCTAAAAAACTCCTGGCTTAAAACTGGTCTGGCAGCCGGAATCTGAAGTTTAGAGTTGCAGGTCTTTGCATGAAATTGACACGCCTGTGTCTCGCACTACCGCAACATCCTGCAAGTGCCCCAGCATCCATGCAAGTGGATCCGTGGGGTGATGGGGACTTACATCTACAATCATAGGTGTCCTTTGTGGTTGTTTTGGTAGAAAAATAGATGGCCCTAGTTTACCTGGTGGTTTAATCATCTACCAGGGCCATCTATTTCCTCTAAAGGACACCTATGTCTGCGAATTGATGTGTGAGGGGCTTAAACCGACAGGCTGCGTATGTGCGAATTAGGGGTGCTCCCGGTGGAAGGACTTGCTGTCCTGGAGCTTAGGTCTCCTCGCTGGCATGAGCCGAGAGGTTGGCTAGGTCCCAACCAGCTAGGTGCCCGAGCTCTCACCCGTTTCTGTTTTGGTTGGGAGGGTTCCCTTCCAAAATAGACAAGACTGAAAAAAGTGACCTTTCTCACCCCTTTTTGGGGAGGGTGCCCCCAATGAAATAGACAAAACTGAAAAAAATGGGAACCAACTTACTCTAAGCTTGTGACTGGAGCACCTAGTTGGAGAGGGCCTTGAAGTTGGAGAGGGGTCTTTGGAGCACTGAGGAAATTTCCTCATTTGAGGATTCTGGCCACGGGACCACTCATGGCCACCAGCTTGAAAATTGGCACACGCCAAAGGCGTGCGAGCCCATCTTAGCCTTTTCACTGTGGCAGTGGTCACTGGGCGCCCCAAGCCAAACAAAAAGTAGCAAAGCTTAAGAAATGCCAAAGCAAACCACTTGCGGCAGACCTATGTTTGGAAAGAAGGTTTCCTTGTTGTGCCCACTCGTTTTCACGCATGATGCGTGCAAGCTAACACTTAGCAAGGCGCTTGGCAGCCCGGTCCGCCTCATTTTCCTAGCTGCCTCCTCTACGAGAGGTGAGGCCGTTTTGGCGGTATAATCAAACCCCATCGGCGGCTCGGTTTGCTTCGTCATGCTCCACATCATCCTCAAGAGATAATTATTTCACTTTTATGTACCGCGCATAGAAGTGTGTGTGTGTGTGTGTGTGTGTGTGTGTCGTTGACTATCAAGGCAAAAGAAAACAAAGAGGCAATGTACCATGGGTGGGGATCCCTTAATATAGCCGAATGTTTGAATGGTACAAATGTATGTGTGATTGATTTGTGTTCTGTCCTGAATTCCTTTTCCTACACAAATAACTGTTTGATGTGATTTTTGTCCAATTCAAGGTCCGCTAAAAATCGCCGGCATGGGCCCCTACGAGCACGGGAAACCTTTTTTTTTGATGTCGGTTGGAGGCCCAAAAGTACCCTCCAGTCCGCTATCATTGAGCCTGACGTTTCATCGGGGTCCTGGAAGACCATTTTTTGTTAAATTGGCAAAATGGGCCCTGTGGAAAATGTCCATGGGCAGGAGGGGACTTGGACTTAGATGGTCTGGGAGGAATTGCCAAATGGCTAGCCTTGCCCTGGTTGTAATCCCCTGGCTGCAAGTTTCCTGTCACCAGGGTTCCTGGCCATTCAGAGATTCGTTCCACACCATCTCAGTATGCTGCACCGCCTCGCCAGTTCAGCGACCCAGCAAGGGACCCCATACGCGCCGTGAGGAGCATAGTAGGAGCTCCAGCCGCTTCCAGCGCTTCTTTGCCTCACGAAGAAAATTCCAAGCGACGAATTGCATCCTATGTCGCGCCTAAACAAATCCTGTGCCATTGCTGAGAGAGGGATGAACTTGCCGCCAACAGAGCCCACGCAGAACCCAACTTGGCATTTCTCGATTGACCCGACCACCGGAAGGGAGTGGCAACCAGAAAACAAAGCCACCTTCTCTCTGTTGCCCAGTGGTGCCCTTCTTTTTTGGGGGGTAAGGGTTCCCTTCTAAAGTCAACCAACCAAACAAAGGTGCCCGGTTTTCCCGTGGCCACTGGGAATCTGAGTTCTAGAGCACCGAGAGGGTCACCATGTTACGCACATTCTGACAGATTTGAGGCTTCGGCAAATGCGCCTGACTGCACAGGATTAACCCCAATACTTATTTGCGGATTCGGCAGCCGAAACAATGGATCTACTATATTGGCCAATCAGCTGTTTCCCTTTTGCCTAATTCACGGTGGTTACTCTACGAATCATTCGGGTATCTGGAATCATGGGCTGAATTGCCGCAACGCTCGCACCCTTTCAACCCTATCTTGCAAGTGGATGGCCCCGGGCAAGTCCGGAGCGGTCATTTGGCACCCCATGCTAGCATGGGGAAATTGATCGTGCCGCACTTGCCACGCAACATGCATCCCACTTAGAATCTGACCAAATTGGGCCGCAAGCAAGAGTATGAATGTCGGATGGGCCGACCCTTTGCTGGACATCAATCTGCATTGAAATATGTGCGAAACCTGAAGTAAGAATTGGATCCCCGAGTAAAGGATTTTTTCCGTGGCTTGAGCTCGTTTTACGCCCGGACCTAAGCTTGCCGGAAAAAACATATATGCAGAAATCGATGGACGACTGTATGCGACATTTTGTACCTGGAGTCTCCATGACCCTTTAAAAAGGTGTTGACCCCTTCTTCTAGGGGTCGTGGAGACTCTAGGTAGGTTTTTTGTTTTTCCCATTTCCTTTGCATTAATCGGTCGAATTTCAGGCAGACATGGTCTCTCCGGAGTACCGATTCCCAGTCCAACCCAAAAGATGTACCCTCAAGAACGCATGGGCCATGTGTGTGTGTGTGTAAAAGGTTCAGCAAATGGTTCCGTTTGGTGATCTTTGATAACGTTGGGGGAACGTCATCCTGGTAAGGATCCTGAAGCATTATGATATGGGAACCATGGGCCATAAACGGAGTTTTGACCATGCCTCAGTGCCTCATTTGTTTTTCACAGATTCTTTGGGCTTGTCTACGGCCTGGAAAGGCCATGGACTCTTGCAAGTTTCCTAGGCGTTTACCTGGAGTCTCCATGACCCGAATCAAAAAATGGTCCATGCCAGTATTTGGGGTAATGACCCCATTTTTAAAGGGTCATGGAGACTTAGGTATTTGTTTTTGGTTGGTTCCGTTGCGGGTTTCCAATTTATCCCACAAGGTGGAGCTTTTTGGCAGGGGATCAGCTTGGGATGAAGCAATCCAGCCCCTGGTGAGGTAGCCGTCGGCTTGCCCTTCGTGTTTCGCCGCGGTTGAACCACTGCGATTGAACCTGGCCTGAGATCTTCAAAGATTCGACGGCAGAAAAAAAAATAAATCCCGCCCTGCTCCAGGTTTGCGAAGCTGGCTGCACAATGGCCTGTCAACGGAAGACAAACGATGGGTATGTGCTTTTCCAGATCCAGGAATCATTCGGCACCCAAAACGAATTAGTTTGAGGCAGAAGTCGGTGTTTTTGTCCCTTTCTATCAGACGCCCTGCCTTAAAAACCGCGGTGTTCAAGTCGACCTATGGAATCTGGTTGCGAAGTTGAAGGAAGGAGCCTTCCTACTAGCCTCTTCGGGGCCCGGTGTAGTGGGACCCAAGTCGACCCCCAGCTTTGGTGTTCCCATGTAGAGCTTGAGCCAGGAACTCGAGAACCCTGGATGGTTGCGAAATCCGCAAGTCTCGCGCCACGAAAGGAAACCGTTGAAGCCGTGGTTCTTCGACTAGGTCCCCCAGTAGTGCCCTTTTACACTTTTTTGGGGGAGGGTTCCCCTACT